CCTGCCTGCTCCCCGAACGCGCGTCTGCAGCCAAGCCGGTCGGACCCGGGCTCTGCGCCTCGGGTGTGGGACTCTGAGCGTCCCCAGGAAATTTCCAGAGACGGTGCATTGAAACGTCAGCGTTTCCTTCCAATTGAAACAGCCTCGCTCGTGTCAACCTCCCCGCAGGCTCGGTCCCCAAAACCCTAAGGGAAGCCAGACCCAGGCTGGACTGCGCACTGCCCTCAAGGACACGGGACAGGCGGGAAGAGGCTGTCCCCCAAGTGCCCCCGTTCCGTCAGCTCCTGGAGGACCCTCGTCCTACGGCCATTAGTTACGGGCACCTGGAACGTTCTGGAAGCTGAGTCTGCACGTCTGTGAGAATCCTAATTACTGCTGCAGAGTGGGGATGACACAGGAGTCCCTTTGCTTGGCAACCGGGGTAATTCTCTGTGGTCGCTCGGGAGCCCACGGTGCCGCGTCTTCCACTCCAAAGAGCAGAAACTGATTGAATTCCCCCCTAGAACGGGTTTAATTGATCCCGCCCACGATTCCTCGGGAACCCTGAGTGGCGGGGTGGGGCGCCACACTGCGGCGACGAATCTCGATTTCCTTCCGCTCAGTGCTCAGGGAAAGGTCGCCGGGGCGCTCGGCCCACCACGGGGTCACACGGCTTTTCAGTGACTGTACAGAGGAGAGGACCCAAAACATTCTGGTTGGAAACAGTCCGCAGGGCTGTGAGGAGCTAACCGTTCCCGCGTTTCGAACATTTGGCTTCTATTTCGCACCCGGCTGCTTCTAAAGGTTGTTTTCCAGGATTTAGCAAACCCTCCTGCCGCAAAGTGGGTCGGGACAGGAGCCAGGCGGAGAAGTTGCGGGTGGACCGTGGGTTTTAGCTCTCGCGACAGTTTTGGAGGAAACGTGAGCTGTGCTCAAGCTGGGGAGCAAATGGATGAGGCTGAGCCCTGAGCAGTGACGGGGAAGGGCAAGGTCACCCCGCCGCTGTCCCCGCCGGGAGAAAGGGGTGCGTCCATACCACGGACCCTGCAGAGGGGCACCAGACAACAGGGTGGGCCCGTCGGTCCCCAGTGAGTCTGCGAGAGGGGTGGCTCTGCTGGGTCCCAGGCTCGTGGGGTACCTCCTCCTACCCTCTGCTTGGCCAGCTGTGGACAGTCCAGAAAAGGGGCCCCTGGCAATGACCCTGAGCATCGCTCTCCCTGGAAGGAAGGACGGCCCTGCCTGGAGACGATCGGCCGGCCTTGGCTGGCCCCCGAGGCTGTTCTGAGCTCCAAATGTCCACCTGCACCCCGACCTAAGGAGCAGGCGGGGTCCCCAGGGAGAGACGTGTCACCGCAGGGGAAAGGGAGCCCTGGGGAGGGGAGTTAGAAAGCGCCCGGCACTTACTAAATGGCCAGGTTTGCAGACAAAGGCCCGCAGATCAGCCCATTTCTGAGAGTCTGTCCATGCTCCAGAGACTTTTCAATAAAGGGAGCATCTCAGGGGCCAACGGAAACTTCTCATCAACCGGATTTAGTAAATTAAACTTAATGGGTCTTTACATATCGAAACGACTTAATTAATTCTCTACAGGAGGCCCAGGCGCCGAACGCATCACGTGGTCGTGTCCAATGCCACAGTTAAAAACGCCTGTGAAACAGTAACATCCCGGCACTGACCGTGTTCCAGCACCTCCCAGGGCACAGACTCAAAGGTTAAAAGAAGCGAGAGAAAAGGGCGGGGCCTCAACCCTTCGCCGGTGGGCGGTTAAAAACACGGTTTCATTCAAGCGTCTACATTTACCCACCAAGGGAAGAGGGAACCCCCCCATCGCCTGCACAGGACAAGCCACAGACACACAAGCAAACCCCACAGTCTACACACCGCTTTCTTTTTGATTTTAGCAGCTTTTTGCATCCTCTGAACAGCATGTAAGAGAAAAGCACAGAGTAAGAAGGGGCGGCAGAGTTATTTCCGTTTGTGCTCAACACCCAGCGCTCAGACCTGGTGCCCAGGGGACAGGGAAGCGGCTGCCACCTCAGTGGGCACAGGGCACAGAGCCCTCAAGTCCTGGAGGCTCCGGACACCCCTGCGGCCACGAGGGCGACACTGAGGAGGGAGAGGCCAGGCTCCTGGGCAGAGCAGGGGGCTCTGTGCTGCCCTCCGGTGGGCTCACGTCCAGCACCCCTTCCCTCTGTTAAAAGCCATCACTGTCAGCTGTGAGGACAGGGAGGGGCTGACAAGCTCTCACCCCGCAGGCAGCAGCGTCCACAGGCCTCCAAACCCCCCCCCCAGCCCCACCGGCTCTGTGGACTTGGCCTCATCTTAGCCGCACCCAGCGGTCGAAGTCAGATCAACCTGCGCCTGGGGCGGCGACAGTGTCGGGTTTTCCTTGAGGTCGTGAATGGAAATGGAACGTGAGGTCCCCCCTGGCCAGTGTGGCTCCGGGGTTAGAGTGCTGGCCCACGCAGGGAAGGGCTGTGGGTGCGATTCCTGGTCAAGGGCACGTGCGGACGGCAACCAATCGATGTGTCTCTGTCACATCGATGTTTCTGTCTCTCTGCTCCCCTCCTTCCACTCTCTCCAAAAAAATTCAATAGGAAAAATATCCTCGCGTGAGGGGTAACAAGAGATAATGAAAGTGAGGTCTGTCTCCCCTTCTGCAGGCAGCACCCCGAACGGCGCTGAGAGCCACAGGCGGCTGCACAGGGATTCGAGCTGTGCTCTAACCTGGTTCACGACCCGCACGCTTCCAGACCATCGTCATTACAAAGTCCTGCCTTTGGGTGGCCCGGTGGCAGCTCCTCATCGAGGACCATGCTGCTCCTGTGCCCAGCCCAGCATCCTCCCGTCCAAGGCCAGTGTCCCGCAGCCTCGCCAGGCACCCCGCCCCGCCCGGCGCTCCCTCCGGAGCCCACCCTACCTTGACCCGGCTGACGGCCTCCTGGGCCTGCATCATCCGGATGTTCTTGGAGGGGTTCCGCTCCGACAGCAGCTGGGTGGACCCCAAGTAGTTGGCGGCAAAGATGATGCCATCAATGAGGTCCTCGGGTTCACAGGGCCCTGGAACTGAAGGGCACAGTCAGCATTGGCCCAAAGGACCAAGGACCAAGGCAGCGGGGTCAGGGGACCAAGAGGAGCCGTCTGCAGCCAGGCGGGGGAGGCTGGTCTGGTCTGCACCACGCTGCTCGGTGCAGTCAACCCTCGGGCCAGAAAACTCCTCACACACTGTGTGGAGCCCCAGGCAGCTGGCCCCAGGCACCTCGGTCACCTGGCCTCCCCGCAGCGATGGCTACTGACCAGTAGACGGCGTCACTTTAGCAGCCCCACCCCGAGCCAGCCCCAGGACCCGCCTCTGCAAAGCCTCGGGTCCTCTCTGTGCACTGCGGGCGGCGAGGCACCCCATGGGCCCCCGTCTCCGGGGCTGGGGAGCGGCCTTCCCTTCCGAGTCAGATTCCACCCGCCGAGGCCGCGGCCTTGGAACGTGGCGTTTGCCAGAAAGTCGGTCAGCTCGCTGGCCCTCTGAGGTTCCCTGAGTAGGTTTACTCAAGACTGGCCCCATCTCCCCCTGACGTGAGCCTCAGCAGATCTGGGGCCCATCTGGGGACACGGATTCCTGTGTGTAAAGGGGTCCCGTCCCGGGCAGTGGGGTCCACCACCCGCACCCAGAGGCGCCTGCTCCCTGGGAAGACGCCGGTGAAGCCAACAGACGGCCACCTCCTCCAGGGGGTCCTGTCATTCCCATCTCGCTCTCTAGCGAACAGGAAGCAGTCCACGCAGGGGGCCACCGTGCCCGCCAGTCACACCCACCGCCCCTCCCACCCGTATCAGGGGAGAGAACTGAGAAGCAGCAGAAGGGAGTCGAGCAGCCAGCCCGGCCCTGGCCGGTGTGGCTCGGTGGGTGGAGCGCCGGCCTGCCCACCGAGGGGTCGAGGGGTCGGTCGATCGTGGTCAAGGGCATGTGCCTGGGCTGCAGGTTCGTTCCCGCCCTGGTCGGGGTGTGTGCCGGAGGCAACCAATCGGTGCATCTCTCTCACATCGATGTTTCTCTC